TAATAATAATAATAATTTCGTTGAATAAGCAGCTATTCAGCATCTACCTTGTAAGAAACATGAGTTTCAGTTATGAAACAAAGCTGAAGATCCTCTTGGTGGGAAAGTAGTTCTAAAACCTAATTTTCTTTTTTCTGGTAATGTAGTTGCCAAACAACTTCCCTTTATTACCCAGACTTTTGTCTGGGGATGGGGTATGTGAACTGTGCTGGCAGCTGATCCTTCTTTTTGACCATTCTGATAAAGGAAAGTCATATGGACATTATGATTTCAATACACAAGTTTCTTATGTTTTGTCCTAAACTGTTTTGCCAGGATCCTGGAACAGTAGTGCTGAAAGATTAGAATTTGAGGCAGAGGATGTCCTTTATGGATAGTCTATTCTTCTTGGGCTATTAAACTTGCTTAAGGAATCTTACAATAGTCTACAATCCACTGACTAGACTGGTAGCAAACCTGATGACTCTAGCTATTAGGTGAAATAATTTAAATAAAATCAGATCAAGGGATCGTTGGCTACCACTGAAAAGCAAATAGTGTTGCTTAACTTTCTTATTATTACATTAGACAGAAGGAAAATTTGGATGTGGACATACAGGAGATGGTATGGACTTACATGACTAGGAAGCATGAATAATTAGCCTGTAGCATTAAGAAGAGACAGGGAGGTGGGCCAAGAAAGTGGATGGATAAGATATGAAGATAAGTTGTGTTTTCCTCTGAGGTTGATAATGCATGGCTTAATTTCATGGAATTATAGTAAAATTATACAAGAAACTTCATGTTTCTTTCTTTAGGAAAGTACAAAATTCAATAGAAATATAAATTAGGATAAATAAGATGGACACCAGAAACAGAAACAGTGAAAAAGGTCTGTAGTAAGTCAAAAGTCTCTGAGCCTTCAATAATACGTAACTGCCCCGTTATCTGGAGTCCAAGGTAGGATTTCTGGTAAATAAGTATAGAACGTTTCAAATAACACTTCCAAAAGTTTAGTGCTGTCAGAAACATGCCTTGGCTTTCCTGGGGCTAGAATTCCTCATGTTCTTCTGGCCAGAGAAATAGTGAGAAAAAGTATGCAGGGGTGAAGAGGCAATATGTAACGAAGATTGCTCTACTCTTAGCTGACTTTTCTTCCTTTCCCCAGCAACCTTCTCAGTGCCCCCTTCACTTCTTTGTTCCTTAGAGTATAGATGAGAGGATTCACCATGGGTGTGACCACAGAGTAGAAGAGAGAAATGAATTTGCCCTGGTCTTGGTTGCTGCTCTTAGCTGGAAGCAGATACCCATAGATGGCTGAGCCATAGAAGAGGAACACCACTACCAGATGGGAGAGGCATGTATTGAAGGCCTTCCGCTGTCCTTCTACAGAATGAATCTTCAGCACTGCCCAAGAGATAAAACAGTAGGAGATCAGGATGATGCTTAGCGGGACAGCAGTGAAGAAGGTGCAGACGCCATTGAGCACGGCTTCGTTGAGACTTGTGTCTCCACAGGCTAGTTTGATCATGGCAGGCACCTCACACAGGAAGTTGTCCACCTTTTGGTGCCCACAAAATGGGAGTTGCAGAGTGAATGTTGACTGAATCACAGAGTTGCCCAAGCCACCTAACCAGCTGATGGCAGCCAGCAGCCAGCAGAGCCGAGGATTCATGATGGTGATGTAGTGCAGGGGCCGGCAAACTGCTACATAACGATCAAATGCCATCACCATGAGCAAAATGCACTCAGTAGCCCCTAGCCAAAGGAAAACATACAGCTGGGTCACACAGCCGCCATAGCTGATGGTCTTGTCTGGCCCCGACAAATTTTTCAACATTTGAGGGACTGAGCTGGTAGTAAAAGCAAGGTCAAGGGAAGAGAGGTTGCTGAGGAAGAAATACATGGGTGTGTGGAGTCGAGCATCAAGACGGGAAAGCAGAATGATGGTTGAGTTCCCAATGACAGTCAGCAAGTAAGAGGAAAGGATGACCACGAAAAAGATCATCTCCAGCTGGGGGTGGTCAGATATGCCCATCAGAATGAAGGCCCCCGAGGAGCTGTTGCTGCCCAGTTCCATTACTGGTTGCCTTCGTCACTGGAAGTGTTCTGGAAAACAGAGAAAACTTCTGGGAGAAAAGCAGGGGAAGGGAGAGTTTCTAGTAAATCTGTATCCAGAAAACCTAATGGCTCTACAGTTAAGTACCAATCCAACTTCTCTGGTTACAAGCTTTCACTGCAATCCTTGATTGTCAGGTGAGTCAGGATGTCAGATCTAGCACAGAATTGAAGAGCCTCATGAACCCAGAACAATTAGGGCTCTTCAGTTCAGAACAATGGTTATGATGAGACAGAGGGAGCCCACAAGTTAGAATGAGCTGTGGACACTCTCAAAATACAAATTTCCTCAGCCAAGTTTTTCTATGCTCTGGGTAGGGGAAACAGACACACTGAACTTGGAAAAACTCCCCACAAGTTTCTGATAAGCTTCTTTTCTCTCTCCTTGATAGTCTTTCCTTCTCACATTAAAACTCCTGATCTAGAAAGATGAAACTTGAAGAAGAACAATCATAAGTCTATTAAATAGAAGAATGGGAAGACCAAATATAGTCATAGTCACTAAGGATACAGACATGTAAGTGAAGAGGAGGTGAAGGCAGCATAAAATTTCATACAAGCCAGGGCTGGAGCTATGGCTCAGCAGTTAGGAGCACTGGCTGCTCTTTCAGAGGACCCGGGTTCAAATCCCAAGAGTCGCATGGCAGCTAACAGCCATCTATGGCTCTGTTCCAAGGGATCAGATGTCCTCTTCTGACCTCTGTCAGCATTGTACCACACGGGTGCACTCGCATACATGCAGGCAATGCACTAATATACATAAAATAATAAAAATAATTTTTAAAAACTTCATACAAGCCAAGGTAAGGTTAGGCACAGCAGGCTAATGATAGAAACGTGGGTTATAATGAAAAGGAATTAAAACAATTCACCTGTGCACATAATTAATAAGGGAAACTAGAATACCTTGGAAGTGACTGACTCCTGGTACTTTAGCCAATTACCACTTCCTTGAAGAACTCTCTCTCTCTCTCTCTCTCTCTCTCTCTCTCTCTCTGTGTGTGTGTGTGTGTGTGTGTGTGTGTGCATGCATGTGTACAGAGGCCAGAGGTCAACCCCAGGTGTCATTCCTCAGGAGTGGCCCACTTTGCTTTTCTTCCATGCAGGGTATCTTTCTGTAATCTGGGGATCATCAATTAGGTTGGCCTACTTGGCCAGTGAACCCCAGGGATCCACCCCCTACCCCAGTACTAGGAGTCTAAGCTTGCAGTATCACACCTGGCTTCTTACTGCCACCGCAGCTAGCTTTTTGTTTGGGTGCTGGGGATTGAACTCAGGTGCTCATGCTTGCAGAACAAGCACTTTACTGGCTGAGCTATTTCCCCAATTCCAGGCTACGGTAATTTCTAAAGATCATAAACCAAGCCCTTCCTCTTCTTTTTGCTCACTAAGTAAGTGATCTAAGGAAAAAACAGAAATTTTCTTGGGCAACCTGGATACCATCAGTTTTGAGAGACTATTATCTCTTTCTCTGGACTGTGACCTGTTTATCCCATGGGAGCCCCAGCTACTGACCCAGCCATAAGAGTCAGGACTTAAGGAGTGTGCACAGCTGTTTCTATTGCACCAAGCAAGGGCTACTTGACTGAAGACTCTGGGACTGTCCTTTCCATTAACCTATAGCAAACATATTGGTGATCCTGATGTTAGAATCTACTCAGGAATCAAAGAGAGAATGTGTGTGTGTGTGTGTGTGTGTGTGTGTGTGTGTGTGTGTGTGTGCGCGCGCATATGAAAGCCAGAAGACTACTTTGGGGCCCTTCTTCCTCAGGCGCTGCCTACTTTTGTTTTCATGTCAAAGTCCCTCACTGGGACCAGGGGGCTTATTGACTAGGCTACTCTGGCTGACCAGGGAACCCCAGGGATCTACCTGTCTCCACCTCCCCAGTGACTGAATTACAAGCACACGCCACCAACCTGACTTTTTTTTTGTCTTTTCGAGACAGGGTCTCCCTGTAACCCCAGCTATCCTGGAACTCACTATGTAGACCAGGGTGGCCTTGAACTCATGGAGATCCGCCTGCCTCTGCCTCCCGAGTGCTGAGACTAAAGGCGTGCGCCACCACGCCCGGCCCAACCTGACTTTTTTAACCTGAGAATTGGGATTGAACTCCTCATGCTTGTGTGGAAAGTAGTTTACTGACTGAGCTATCTCTGTAGCCTCAGGGAAGAAAAATTTTAAACTTTTTTAGGTCAGTGGAGTCTTTCTACCAAGTCAGTGATGACCTTTGTACCTAATGAAGAGGAGATTGCTTATTGTTTTCTAAGAGAACTAAGGAATTAAGTTAATACCCCGACACTCTCTTCTGAAGTTCTTCCTGATACTTCTCTTTTCTGCCTCCCTCAGGTTGAAGTTCTTACTTAGCCCCTCCAATCCCTTTGAAGGAAAGAAACAGACAGGCACTGCTCCCTGACCTTGTTGAGCCGCTCAGTCTGTGGGAGCCTGGGGCTCTGCGGCTGCTGAGTCTTCAGAACTCCTTTAAGTCCCTGCTCTGTACTTACTGAATAGTCATTAGCTCTGAATAAACCAGACAAAACAGAAAAATGAAAGGCTTTTGCTAGAGTAGGCAAGTAGCTCAGCAAGTTCAGGAAGAAATACCAGACTGGCTATATTTCTGGCCTGAGTGCCACAATCAAGTCAGCAAATGTAACTTCAGGGTTGCGTTCAGTAACTCTCTTCAGGGCCTTTGTTTCTCCTTTATAGGGTCTTCCTGGTTCCCTTATAATCCAGGAGTATTTTGCTTTATTTTGTTTTGAGATGGTCTCATGTTGCATAGGCTGGATTCCAACTTGGTAGGTAGTCAAGGCTGACCTTCAATTAGTGATCTTCCCACTTCCATTTCTCAATACTTGGTTATAGGCAGTGCCCCATACCTCTAATTTGGGAGTGTTAAATTAACCCAGACTTATTTGCATTTTAGGAAGAGCCCAGAGAGGGCAATAGTAAACTCTCCATTCTAGAAAGGATGCCCCCCACCCTTTTTTAAAGACAGGGTCTTATATAGCCCAAAATGATTTCAAATTCTCTATATAACTAAGGATGGCTTTGAACTTCTGATCCTCTTGCCTCTGCCTCCCAAATACTGTGATTATAGGCATGCACCACCACTCATGGTTTTATGCAGTGCTGGCAATTGAGCCTATAGATGAGCACTCTACAAACTGAGTTACAGCTTCAGCCTGAATGTGCTATTTATCGTGCACGTCAGACAGAGAAACACGGGCGCAGGATCCGCTGGGTACAAAAGGAGTTTTGGAGCCAGGCGTGGTGGCGCACGCCTTTAATCCCAGCACTCGGGACACAGAGGCAAGCAGATCTCTGTGAGTTCAAGGCCAGCCTGGTCTCCATAGTGAATCCAGGACAGCTGAGGCTACAGGGAGATCCTGTCACAAAACAAAACAGAAACTTGCTACAACATGGGTGACCCTTCAAAGACAATAGGCAAGTGAAATAAACCATAAAAGGCCAAAAAAAAAAAAAAAGGAGTTTTGGAATCACTCAAAGTACAGATTGTCCTTGCAGTTGCCTGTCTGTAAGTTTAGTTTAAAAGTGCCACATGGGGGGCTGGAGAGATGGCTCAGTGGTTAAGAACACTATTCTTGCAGATAGACCCGGGTTCAAATCCCAGCACCCACATGGTAGCTAACAACTGTCCATAACTCCAATTCCAGGGGATCTGACAGCCTCTTCTGTCCTCCGTGGGCATTGCACGACATGGGTGCACATACCTATATGCAGGCATGACACTCATACACATAAAAATAAAAATAATAAAATATTTAAAAATGCCACATGTAGCTCTGGGTGCGTATGGTGGTGTATACCTTTAAGCCCAGCACTCAGGAAGCAGACACAGGCAGCTCTCTGTGAGTTTGAAGCCAACCTAGGCTACTTAGTGAATTCCAGACCAATTGGGACTACACAGTAAAACCCTGTCTCAAAAAAAAAAAAAAGGGCAGCCATGATTTCTTTCCTTCAAGAGACTCCTGGGGCTGAGGAGGATGTCAGCTCAGTGGTAGAGCACTTGCTTAGTATATCAAAGCCCTGGGCTCTATCCCTAGCACAGAGGGGAGTGGAAGGACAACATGGGGCCTTGGATATTGTCCTTTCTCTCTTTCCCAGCTTCCTGCCCATTTCTTTCCCTAAACTTCACAGCTCTCAGTTGCCCACTTGTGGATTAGCTGCAGCTTGGTCATTTTGGTTTGGATTCCCCCCATGCAGAGGTCCTACTGGGCTATCAGCTCTCCCTGAATGTGGGTGCAGATTATCAAAATTCAAGCTTTGCATTAACACTAACTTGAGACCTGAACAAAAAGGTAAATGGAATCATTAGGAGAAAGAAAAAATTTCCCCGCGGGAGGGGGGGTAGTGGAGCACTCTTGCAAAGGACCCAGTTTGGTTCCTAGCACCCACTTCAGATGTTGGTAGCTAACAAATGCTGTAACTCCATCTCCAGTCACATACACATGCCTTCCTGTGTGTGCATGCGCGCGCGTGCGCACACACACACACACACACACACAATTTAAAATAAAATACATTTTAGCTGGGCAGGGTGGCACATGCCCTTTAGTCCCAGCACTCAGGAGGCAAAGGCAGATGGCTATCTGTGAGAGATCAAGGTCAGCCTGATCTACATAGTAAGTTTCAGGCCAGCTGTGACTACAGGGAGACCCTGTCTCAGAAAAAAAGCCAAAAATATGCATTTTAAAACAGACCAAAAAAAACACCTTCTGGGTATGGTGGCATTTGCCTGTAATCCCAGCAGGTGGGAGGAGGAGGCAGGAGGATCAGGAGTTCAAGATCATCCCTGGCTACATAGCAAGTTGAAGGTCAGCCTGGGCTACATGAGATCCTGTCTCAAAAGCACAAAAACAAACAACTAATCAGCCAACCTAATTCTTCTGGCACTACTAGAGAAGTTTTAGAGTACATCTTATTTTTAAATAATTCATTTATTT